CCGGGCAACACGGGCCATACTTACAGCTTGCAAGTATTTCATAAAGTCCATTCCACTGAAATATTGCACTGGCGGTTCGGCGTTGCACACAATCAAATTGTCTCCGTGATTCGAGTCATTGTAGTGAAAGTATGCCGCGTGACCGGACACGATAATCAGGTGATAGGCCATAGCCACACGTTCCTAAATAAAGCACGGATAAAACGATAATCATGTGATGTATCGGACAGATTGAGGGATAACTAGAACCAGAAATGGAAAGATGGTGATGATGATGATGATGATGATGATGATGATGATGATGATGATGATGATGTTTCCGAGGGATATTTTTGAGTAAACTTTGTTTCCTGAACCTACCTAGTTTTAAATCCTTGTTTTTGGATACAAATTTGTTATCTAATAATAATCCGTTGGTGTTCGTTATTTAACGCGTTAAGATACTGTATGATGAACTCAAGGGGGAAACGTTTATCATCCACGTGATCCTCCTCATCAGCCATACGGTTTTTCAAATAGGAAATACTATAGTCCAAACGGGAGATATTTGATGTAGAAATTACATAGGTATGACAATCTTCCAATATTTCATATTTTTCGCTCAACTTTTTCTCGTTTGTGATCAAAATAACAGTTTCTACGATTCCTTCTATTTGAATACCACTGAACGTGACACAAAGAGTCAGTGAACCCAGAAATCCCAACATCTAAATGCGGATGATGGTGAAGAGAGTAATCCAAAGCGGGGAGGGAGCATTCCACTATTGATATTATTATCATTATTATGATTATTACTTGTAGGTAGCATTAATGTGGCATTCGTCGGACAGAGAGGAACCGGTTTCAGTTATTGAACAGACCATGTTTAATGGACAAAGACGTACCAATAAGGAAGGAAATGAAAACTAAGAGAGTGAATTGGTTTGTATATCGATAAGAAGTGAAAATATTGATCTCGGCTGAAGTGAAATAGTGAAATCTGTACGCTGAAATGCATGATGTTTACATAAATGATAGGATGCAACGAAGATGATAATTGAATGATGATAGATGTGGCGTAGTGGATAGCCCGCTTGCGTTCCGCCCATGAAGTCCCGGATTCGACCCTCAGTCTGGTCGATGGATTCGCACTGCTGATGAAACCCAACCAGGTCGAAACAGCTGTGCAGTGCTTCCGAGCTATTCAGTTCACGCTTCATTTGCTATATACACGACGAAATCCCATTTGAGATTATAGATGTCCCAAGGGTGTCGTCGCATTTGGCAGAATATTCGAATGCATTGGTCTCAGCTGTTTTCAGCACTCGAATATTGTCAGCTCAACAGGAGTCTGGCAATGGTTGAAGGCACATTGTCGTGTTGATGGCAACGATTCCCACACTCAAAGTGTTTACACGATCCCCACCTTCTTCGAGATTGCTTGATATTTTCAGCCTCCTTAGCATTTTATGCAACCGAGCGGAAAACCTAGCCAACATCTAGGTCTAGACGTAGGCCATATGTGCAATATTGGTGAACCGACCTCTGAACGTCAACTTCCATGATAGTTTTCAACCTCAGTGTAGCCTTGGGGAAACAGTAAGTCAGGTGGGCAACCGAATCACTGAGCACATTCAAAATTGTTTAGAACTATAGAAATGGCTTATTGACTCTCCATCTGGGAACAGAATTCAACGGAAACCTCTTCCAGAGAAAACTGCTTTGAACAGTCAAAAAGACATTGTGTACTTGGCAATGTTTTATTCAGTCCACAAGCGGATTCTTTATTTTTAAGGGGATCATTTTGTTGACTAATAACTAGGTGATCGGATGACAGGCATGATCAGTGAATGGTTCGGGGAAGGAGTTCAAAATAAAACAAAATGCTTTCAGTAACGTTTTTTACACTTATGTTCCTGGAGGGACGTGAACCGCGAACTTTTGTGTTAGGACTTTAAACCCTTACCCATGAAAGTCTACGTTCGATATTTACCACCTAGTGCGAATTACTTAAGCAGTTGAGAAAAGTAAATTTGGAATAATCCATTCGACTATTCACAGGCACCACAGGCCCTGTTGGTAGTGTTGATTGGTCTTGACCATTAACGCTGCCCGTTGTCTGTGACCGATCGGATGGATTATTCAAAATTTGCTACTGGCAAGACAAGTTTTTTATTCAACGAAATCCATGTCAACTGATCAAACAGACAACTTCGTGTATGTGAGCGAACGTTTACAACAACTATTGCCACGCTGTAGATATTCACAAACAATAAATGAACGTGCGGCGAGCCTGCTCATAAAAGATAAGTTTAGACACAGCCCGGAGAATCAGCGCGTATGTAGAAAGCATTTGTATTCTCTGGAGAAACATGGTACGATTACGATTATCGATTACGACTATCACTGGGAAAAACATTTATGACCTCATTCAGTGATGAAGTGATTGGTGTTCATTCATTTGCACAAGTATGAAGCTTCCATGAAAATTATGAGGGCCTGGGACGTGGGGAAGGGGAGAACGTAAGCCCACAAGTAGGCAAATCGGTAAAGAGACCAGCATTGAAACTGGTTAAAAAGCAGAAACCTCTTGTCTGTGTGAGGAAGATACAGGCTGATGTGGGCGCTCAGAACTGGGTCGCGATTATGTTGGTGGATTTTGACTACGGATGAATTCTAGAGAGAGCAATACTCGAGTGCGTAGTGTATACCGAGTACCATAGTTGGCCAGATGAACTGAGGATTGTGCGTGAAAATAAACGATCAACCATTATCGGTCACGAACGTTTCGAATTCAAATTCAAATTTTTATTATGGGATATAACTTACAAAGACTTCGCTTTTACAAATCCCATAGGGTGTTTACACATGGGTTCGGATGAAGAATCACAATATCACAGTTAGACCATGAA